AATCACTATTGGCTAGTTCCCTAAAATAGGTTGATCAGCTTGCTTCCAATTTTAGGTCCTCCTTATTTCTATTCTAATTGTTGCTTTTCCTGCCTTTTGGGTGTTTATACTTTTGCTCATTATTTTATCTTCTATTGTCCGTTGCGTTCCTTCCTTCCCTTTTTGGGAGCTTTGGCCTGTGACTCGTTACACGCAGCCTTCTTTTTTATCCTGGTCTAGTTTTGTACAATTCAGAGCTTTTTATCAATGAATACCAGCATTATTCACAGTTTGATAGTTGCCTACCAGCATTATTCACAGTTTGATAGTTGCCTTCTCCTATTTTCTTTATTAAAGTTTAGTTACAGTTCGTCACCAGGTATACCGGGCCTTTGATTTATCACTTGTTCACTCTGTAAGAGCAAAAATATGTTTTGATGAATGGCCATGTTTGTGATTAGAAGAAAATCAATTTTGGGCCATCTCTCCAAATGGTAAACTATTGATTTAAGTGATTGTTAACCTGCAAGACCAAGTGGTCTAAATTTCAATCTTTACTGCCTCCAGCTCTCTTGAAAGTTAAATTTCAGTGCAAGGTACAAGAGATATGTGCTTTGTCTTTTTTGTTCGAATTATGTGGTTCTTGGCAAAGAAGATAGGATATTAACAAGAAAGATACTAGAGAGGAGGATACGGTATACTCCTATAGTGAAAAGATAGAATATTAAGATATTAGGAGAAAGAATTTAAACTAACACATGCAATAGTGCTTCCTAAATCTTCTGTCAATTCTTAGAGTATTTCTGCTGAAATGAAAAGGTTTGCCTTTGTTAGGCAGAGAGGGCCAACAAAGGGCAGAAGGATTATCATTAACGTGAATTTACCAAAAAGAAAAAAGATCAGGAATGTAGACTATCCACGAGGAAAGGAAGGAAAAGATTGTTTAAATGAACATTTGCAAAAGTGATGTTGATTTAGTTTTTGTGTATGATACAGTTGAGTTATACTGGTGGACCAAGAGAACCATGGCATGACTTTCATTGCAAAGTTGAGGGGCCAGCTGCATATGATATATTAACTAATTTTGAGCAAAGATGGAGGAAAGCCAAAAAATAGCTTAACATAAGGCTAAACAAGGTTACAAATTGGCGTGATGATGCCTTGCTTAGGCTTGATCGAATATCATGGATTGTCACACCATCTATTCGTGTTGATGATGATACAAATGTCCACGTAACTCAGGAAAACGATCCTGAGACTTGGAATGTGCAGGTGTGCAGAAAATTTGCTGATAGAAATCAATGAATTGCATCATATCATCCTTTATAAAATCCTATCATTACAAGCCAGCATTAATTACAGGTATTATAGAAGCTAAGGCTCAGGCGAGAAGAAGGTTGCATGAAAACAATTTTACCTTTTTGTTCAAATTAGTCTTTTTTGTCCTTAGATTTTCACTCAATTATTAGTCTGGTCCTATTGTGTAAAAATTTCCAAGTAAATCCTTATAATTATGCAAGTTGTTTTTTTTTTTAAAATCCCTACTGGCCAAAGTTTAATAATAGGAATTAAATTAAAAAAATAAAACTCTAAGAATCTGGACATAAGTTTTCAAACCTAGAAAGACCAAATTAAATATTGAAGGAGACTATGAGGACTAATAATAATGTAAATGAACCCAATTTTTATTTTCTTTATTTGTCAGTGTGCTTTCATGGACGAAGTAATCCTCTTGATTTTCTACTTCCAATCTTGACTGTTTCCAAAATCTCATCTGTGGAAAATTTTTGAAAGCTGACTGTTACACCCTAAAATATGAGAGTGACTGGCACAGGATATATGCGCAAACATGCATCCCTAAAATCTTGATTAAGAGAAGTTCAGAATTAATGCATCTGAAACACTATCAATATAATTATATGTACTTAATTTTTAATTTTCATATAAATCAAAATTTTAAATTTTTTTTGTAGAAATTTTGGCAGTACCTCCCCTAAACATAGGACCATTCAAAATCTCTATAACAAAAATTTTACAATATACATCCAGCAATACGGAGCTCTACTTCTTAGTAATAGATAAACAATATAACAAAGAGATTTAGGACTCTAACTATAGTCAATGTGGAGCATTCTAAATTATATCTCCAAAACATACAACATAGATTTTAGAATTTACATAAAAAGAAAGATATTCTCATAACTGAATACTTACATTGAAAGATAAGACATTTCCAAAATGAACATTCACCAAGCTCAGCAAAAGTCCTCCAGTGGTCAGCAAGACAAATAATATCAACTACGCTATCTGAGATCAAATCAAATATTTTTAGTGAATAACGTCCCAACCATAACATTTTTGCAGAATTAAAATGAATAAAATACAATGGTTACATAAATTAAATGAGAAAGCAATTCAATATAAAGAAAGTTGTAAACTTGGAATAAAAGTTCAATATAACTTCAATAATAAGAACATTTAAATTTATAATAACAAAGCTGCTTTAACATTTGATCTTAACAAGTCAAAATTATTAAATAAATAAATAAATAATAACAATATTTACTAAATTAAAAACCAATATGCATGAAATCATCGATTAATTAAAAATTCATATATTTTTGGAGGATTTATCAGATAATTTATAAATGTGGACACACAGTCCACGAAGGTAAATAATCAAATGTGGCTTGTGGTGTGAAAATAAACATGGACACACAGTCGTCTACGAGAATAAGTAACCAAACGCACCTGAGCTGTAGCAGTCCTCACTCCACCCCCGAGGGTCTTTTGGAAAAATTAAAAAAAAACTCAATTTTGACATTTATCCATGATTTTTTTTTTTTCGTTTCCTGTATGTTGCCTTTGTCCATTTTCATTCTAATTTTTTGCCTCCACTTTGGAATTTATATAATTATATATTTAATAATTTAAGAAATGAAAATTAAAATTGGACAAAATATTTTTTTACTAGCATTGGATGAAAATAATTTACAATTATATTTTTATTTAATCAGTAATACATAATAAAAATTATATAAATAAATATGTTAAAGTATTAAATTTTATTATATATAAATATTAATAAAGTTATTATTGTCTATATGAAATTAACCATTTTTCTTTCCTCTTGTTTTCTCTTAATTAGCCAAGCATATAAGTAGAAAAAATTAAATCTCTCCTTTTTTTTATTCTTTTCATTTTTTTTTTAATATTTTTATCTCCTCCTTTCTATTTTATAGACAGATATGTTTTTAATTTAATGTAAGTCAAATTTTGAGAATTATTGTGGCAGGATTTTGCAAATAAAAGAATATCTAAAATAACAATATCGGACAAGTTTCCAATTTAAAAAATTAAAAATTCTAAAATATTTTGAGAAAATTAGTCAAAAAGACCAAGTTGAAAAGGAAATTAGTCCAAGGGACTAAATACTCTTCAAGGACCTAAGCCTTTTGTTTTGTTCAATTTACTTTGTGCTATGTTGACCAAAATGCCGTTAAAACATTGAAGGAAAGCAATAATGAAGAGGCTGTCGAGGTTTTCAAACATTGAAGCATCAACGTCTCGCACACCCAAGCACGATGGTCCAATGATCGTATTTGGCCAAATAATGAGCCATGTGGCTTATAGCCATGTTTTTTGGAAAAACGTGATTGAAGTCTGATAATATGTTAGATTATCAATAGCCACGTTTTTTTTTCAATAAGTGTGGCTTGGGGCCACATTTTTTTTTTTTTGAAACCATGGCTTATTTCTTACCATAATTAAAATAGCTACTCTTTTTTTGACCGTTGGTACAAAATTTTGCCACGTTTTAAAAACGTGGCTATTGAACAAATGAAACTGTGGCTAAATACTGGCTCGATTGTAGTGTGGGTGCATAGGTGTAAGAGTTTTAGCTTGAGTGTAAGGGTTCTGGCTTGAGTGCAAGAAATCTGACTTAGGGTGAAAGAATTTTGGCTTAGGTGCAAGGGTTTTGACTTGGGTTGCAAAACTTTAACTTGAGGTGTAAAGCTTCTGGCTTGGATGCTAGGGTTATGTGTTGTGTTATGACAACATTAATTTACATATAAATCTTAGATGTTTTCATTTAAATTTAGCCTTGAGTGCAAGGCTTTTGGCATGGGGTGTAAGGGTTCTGACTTCAAGTGCATAGCTTTTAGGTTATGGTGCAATGGGCTAGCTTGGGTGCAAAGGGTCTTGCTTTATGGATTTATATGTAATCACACGCAATTTCATGTGACTCTTTGTATGTAATCTTGTTAGATTACTTTATGAATAAAATATTAGACTTGGTCCTTGGAAATCATTTATGTTTCAACCAAGTTCTTATTACTAATTTTTCCAAATAATTTTAGCAGTTGGACGAATCTTACGTCATACGAATAGAAAAATACTCAGATAGATCGAGTGCACCACGTTATTTCTAGTCTATCTAATAAAAACATGATATTTAGACAGTATTAAATATAAATTGATTATAATATTAATGATGGTAGAGAGAGCAAAGGTAAAAAATCAAATATACATTTTGTTATAAAAATAAAATCAATTTAAAAAATGTCACATAAGATTTTCTTTCAATTACTTAGAGCATTTTAATGAAGCAAATTACAAATGATGTGTACGCTCAAACTATCAAAATATTTCTCCAACATATAAAAGGAATATCTAAGAATTATCGGCACAAAGGTTTTCAAATGTCTTTATTTATTTTGTATTATTTAAAAAATGATAGAGATGAGAGTGGGATATGATTTTAATTTAATGTAATTAAATTTTATTTTAAAATTAATTTTTGAGTTATAAAGTAAAGCAACAAAAAAAGTGTGAAAAGGAAAAAGAGTAATAAAGAAGAAGAATATAGAGAATGATCTGGTGCGATTTTGCAAAATCTGATCCCCGAATGCGAATAGTAGGGAAAGGAAGAGACACGTGGAAATAAATATAAAGATTTGAGGAAGAATCCAAATATTTTGGGTGATGACGGATAAGGCACGAGGCGCACCGAACAGGGCCAGGGGGGAGAGAGAGGGGAACGGAAAAAGTACATCGACTGAGACTGAAACGGAGAGATCGAAACATCGGAGAAAGAGATGGGAACAGAGACAGAGAGACATCAGAATTCCAGACAGAGGAGGAAACCCAGAAGGTATGTTTGGTTCCTTCATCAACCTTAGTTGTAGATCCGACTGCTTTGTATTTATATGATGTTGGATGTTTCATGTCTTCATTCATCTCGGCAATCTCGCCTTTGTATCATGACCAAAATTCACTTGACCTATGAGAATTTCGACATGTTATGGTTTGTGGTTTTGCTTCCCCGTGCGTTTATTAACATCTCCTTTATGTTTGATTGCTTTGTCACTCACTGTTTCACTCGTTTTAGACTTAAATTTTTGTTCATTGATCTGTGAATTTTCTAGTAATTGGTATAATTATATTTAAATTTTATCTGAACCATAAAAATTAATTTGAATTTTTCAATTTGAATTGAAGTTATTTGATTTTGAAGGGCTGAATTAGTTTTCAAATTTTCTTGGATGTAAATTTATGTACAATGCGCTCATAGTTCATCTTCACTCTTCCTGGAAATGTATGGAACGTATACTCTTCATTTTTTTTAATGATAATTGGAATTAAATATTACCTTTTAATATATTGCTTTTTGTGGGTTTTATTTATCTTGCCTTTATTTTGAAGCATGAAGAACGGCCAAAAAGAAGAAAGTAGTGGCAGCAAACGCACATGGATGGAGCATCTATGTACATTGCCAATCATACAACATCTTCTCTCCAAGTAATTACTTATTTAAATTTTATAAGCTGTAATTAAATTAATATCTTTAATTTTATTTGAACGATTTATGATTACAAACATAATTTTGCTCATCAACACTATTGGACGGAATTGAAGCTATACTTTGCTATGAATCTTTAATTTTTGTTTCTTTATTTACTAATGTAAAATAAAGAAGCAAAAATAAGTGTGACAAGGAAAATGAATCATAAATAAGAAGAATAAATAGAGAATTATTCTGGTAGGAAATTGCGAAACAGTATATTATATTTTGAGTGACCAAAGCAATAGGTGTACCAAACAGGAAGAAAGTGCGAGGAGAGAGAGACTTGAAAGAAAAAGTAGATCCAGAGACTAAGACTGAAACAAAGACAGTGAGACATCAGAATTGCAGAGAGAGGAGGAAGATGAGGGAACCCGGAAGGTATGTTTGGTTCGTTCATTGTTTACTGTAATCTGTTGTTGCCTCCTTCTCTTCTGTTTCAGTTCTTTTCATCAAACTAATCTATGTGTAAAGCCCGTTAACGACTTGTGGGTGTGTATAACTAAACAAGAACAAATTAAATTAAAATTTTAAAAAATAATCAGAATCCCTTAAGAGAAGCAAATTTCTTATTATTTTAATAAGTTTTTAAGTAATTTTTAAAAAAGATCTAATATAGTATATGTATGAGAGGGAATAAAAAGAATGCCGTAAATTTGAAGATACTTGTCAAAATTTTACAATAACTAAATAAATTTTTTTTTATAAATTAAGATCAACTAAAATATTATAAAGTCTAAAATCACTAAATAATAATCGCATCAATATTTTAACCAATTGTGATATATTGGTTTTTGTGGGTTATATCTTCCCTTTACTTTGAAGCATAAAGAACGGCCAAAAAGAAGAAAGTAGAGGCAGCAAACGGACATGGATGGAGCACATAGGGCAGTGTTTAAATTTTATTTGTAAATGGCTAATCTTGCAACAACTTCACATCAGGCAATTACTTATTTAAATTTTAGAAGCTATAAATTAGCTTCTTTAATTTCATTTCAACGATACTTGATTAATTACAAACATAATTTTGTTCATCAACACTAATAGAAAGAATTGAAACTATACATTGTTATGCATCACTTCGTTGTTAGTTCTCGTATTTTTTAACAAAACCACCTTTTTAAAGGGCAACAAATGGTGAAGAAGAAGAAAAAGAAGGAAGCAACGACGACCAAAAGATGCTAACTGCGAAAGATGATGGCATAAAAATCGAGGAAACTAGCAGCAGCAGTGAAAAAAAGGCACATATGACTGATGATGATGATGAGAGAAGAGTAACGAACATTAAAGAACAAGGAATAAGTTACAATAAGTGGTCACAAGTGGGAGATGATATCTTGGGCTTGATTCTGGAACAGTTATGCCTCGGTGATTACCTTCGAACCCGAGCTGTATGCTCTCGTTGGCAGTCCATTGTCACTAAATACGTTGCCAAGAAGCAGTGTCTTCCACAGCCTGAACTGCCACTTCTTTGTCTTCAAACAATGGACAACCAAAACTTTCCATTTTTCGTCTTACCCACGGCAAGTGTCTTCAAGTTCAACTACACAGTCCCACCACTCGAATTCATCCATTATTGCTATGGCACAGTGCAAGGTTGGATGATCATGATCGAAGCTTCCCGCAATTATTTTGACGTTCCTGAAACCGATGTTCAGATCTTCTTCTTCAACCCAGTGACAAAGGCTAAGGTTTACTTGTCGTCAAGGTTGAAAGTGAAAAGCAAAATTAAAAGAATTGTGGCATCGACAAACCCCAATGACCCAAACTGTGTTGTGGTATGTATCTTTTACCTCCAGAATATTTTCGCCTTCAGATGGATTTCTGATGAGTCATGGACTATAGTCGTTGAAGATCTTATGACAAGGATCACCTTCATGCACGTAGAGATTCTCCATGGAAAATTGTATGCTCTGACCAACGAATCTAAAAATTCCTTTAATTTCTTATGACTTGAAAAAACAACCTCTAAAACCTGAGATATTAGCTAGGCTTCCTCTAGTAGTACCTAACATTATTAGGACTGAGATAGTTCCCCCTTGCTATCTTAATGAAGTTCGCCCTAGGTACTTTATAGAAGCTAATGATCACATTCTTAGGACTCTGGCCGTTGATTCTTCATCTGGAGAACTGTTGAACTGTTGCTTATTTACTTGTATTACACCGCATTCTTTATACAATTGTGGGGGCCATGAGGCAAAAGAGTTTGCCAATCCACCCGAGATTGTAGACAGTAAAGTGTTCAAGTTGGACATGAGTGACGAACCTAGTTGGACTGAGGTTGAAAACTTAGAAAGTCTTGTGTTGTTTGTTGGCTACTGGAAGACTCTTGCATTATCGTTACGTGTTGCTCCTCATATTCCTCGAGAGTTTATTAAAGAGAATTGCATATACTTTTCTTATCGGTTTCCATGTATTGAAGGCACGGACAAATGGAAGGGCTTGAAAATTGGGAGACATTGTAGGACTGAAAGAAGTATTGAATACTATGCATTTGAAAGATCAAGTTTTACTGACGTGCCTTGTCCTGTTTGGTTCATACCAAATCTTTGATAACCCTCACATTTCGCCACATGTTACGTATTGAAGATCTTGTCTTATGTAAGAAACATTATTGTTGTCCTAAACGTTATTGTCTTCCAGGTGATCCACATCTATCTTGTGTTTTTATTTATTTGCACGTTTCATAAATTTTGGTTATCTAAATTAGAATCTATTTTGGCTCCTCTTTCATTTGCCATCATATTGCATATTTTGCATCAAACATGAAAATTACACCTCTTGAAGAAAACGTGCAATGCGGACCGAAATTGCTTCAAAAATCAGTTTGATTGACGCCTTGACTCTATCAAATGTAAAGCATGCTCACACCCACAACAAGTTAATCCACTTCTACAATGTAAAGCGTGAATATTAGTCACAAATATATGACAGCAAGTCCATATAACTTCTTTTGGAAAGAGGGATATGGCTTTGCAAGTCTTCTATTTCACGAGGCCGCGAGTAATCTTTCTAGAAGAGTAATAGTTTTGGCTATCCCTTTTTTAGCATCTGAGGTGAAAGTGAGACTTGAGTAAGCAAATTTAATAACTGAGGAAGTGGGCCATGCACCTAAATAACATTTAAGAAACATAAGAGTTGGTCAGGATTTTAAAGGAAGAACTCTCAAAAAACCTTGAATAACCTGCCAAATATATTAAGAGAAATTTAGATAAATACCAATAAAATTATTTGGCTATCAAGTGCTTTTAAAAAAATAAAATTTCCTAAAAAGCGTAAGAATGTTGATTTAAATTATATTAAGGATATGAGAAGTTACCTGATCCAATGGAATCAAGTTAAGGTGCATGTCTATCATCTTTGCCCCTCACCATCACATTTGTCTCATTTTCTCCAAGCAGAAGAAGAAGCCGACGCAATAGCTTGGGGTATCTAGTGTTTTGTTAAAGAAATGCTAAACTAGCCAAAACAAATAAGATTTCCAAGTACAAGAAATTTGAACCCACAAGTAGTCAAAGCCTCTACAACACTAAATAAAAAATACTAAATATATGTAAGTCTGACTTGCATTGGCTATGCTAATAAAATCTTTTTATCCTAGGGAGTTATTAAAATGGGAGTTTATTAAAGTTTAAAAAAAAAAAGACATGGACAAGGATACTTTACAGCTAAATCTTTATCATTCATACCCAACTGTCCAACACAAAAGGCAGCATTACTTCTCATTCTTGCCTCGTTGGAACGTGCTAGTTCCTTGAATAATAAGGGAATCACTTGCTGCAACAAAAAAATAAATAAATAAATAAATAAATCAATTAACTTTCCCTAAATGAGCACATTTATTAAAGATTATACATTAAAATAGGGAAAAAGAAATTACATCCAAGTGTTCTGAAAAAAGCACATATTTCGAGCCATCACTCCTTTATCCTCATTTCGAAGTGTGGTCTTCACAAAAATGCTTGCCACCATCGCTGTAAAATTAAGGACTGAAATAGTTAAATTAATGAAAATAACTAGTTATTTATAATTATATAAGTTTATAATGTTATTACCTATTCTCCCTTTCATTTTTGCTACCTCGTCCTGAAAAGTAAGCACAAGTGTTTGAAACTTCGATAAGTATATATTATTTAGAGATAATCCACATTAACGATGATAATAAGGATCTGGTAATAATGGTGTGCGGTATGATGTTATCAAATGCAGATACAATGTAAGTAAAGATTTTTCAGATGATACTGTGGTGAAGAGTGCTGATTCTGGGTCTTGGAATGATTTAGCTTTTGCTTGGGATAATATAAGAGGAAATTGGTGGGTAGAAGTGAGGAATGGTGAAAGTACCTCTTGTTGGGATGTTTGTTGGATTAATCAGAAAATTAAGCTAGGCGATGCTATTTTACAGGATGTGCCTCCAGAATTAAGGGGGTGGAGGGTGTGTGAAGCAGTTAATGAAGTTGCGTGCTATAATGAAACCTAATAATAGTGATGGAAATGATAAAATTTGTGGGGTTAGGGGGCAACAAAGTGATTCTATAGTTAAGAGTGGGTATAAATTGTTGATGGAAAATTCTTAGGGGCTAAAAGATAAGATTTGGAAGTCGGTATGGCCTGGAAATGAGAGGATTAAAGTGTTTTTGTGGCTTGTGGCTAATGACAGGTTGCACTCTAGTGACTTAAGATTCAGAAAATGGGGTGCATCTCCTGCCTGTTTTGTTTGCGGGCAAAATGAATCTGTTTTACATATGTGAAGGGATTGTGGTAAGGCTGCTGGCTTTTGGCAGTGTATTGTTCCAGGTGCTATAAGTGAATATCATCCAAAAGGCAATAACAATAGTTTTACTTACATAAGAAATTTTTTTTGGTGAATTGATTTTTTGGGTTTTATATCAGTTCACAAGGCTTAATCAATTTGCGGAAGTAATTAACATGGTTAGGAGTAGATAACATCCAAATTGTAATAACTATCTTTTTAAAAGCAAAATCAGGTGAATTGAATTTTCAAAGACTAATTAGAGCTAAAATAACATATCATTACTGAAAATGAATGACAATCTTTTTTGGCTTACAAGAGATTCTCAAACTTTGACATAACAACCATGCATAATAGTAACTCTGAATATTTCATACCTATTATGTCAGTTAAATTTTTGTATATATATCAAGTGAAAAAATGACATATTTATCCAAGATAAACTCTAAGAAAGTATATGAATATAATATGTAATTAAGGTATTGATGTAAAATTTTTAAAAGTCGTAACTCAATATATAACACAGTTATACATAAGTTAAAATATCTTTGTAGAGCTGCTTTCAATTAGATTCAATTAATAACATTTGAATCTAACCTAATCAAGTAGTTTCATTAAAAAAGAATGTGAATCATAGAATTCGAATTGCATTAGTGAAGAAACTAAACTTGAAAGACTTGACTGTCTCAACATATTTAATTTGTCATACTTATTTATAAATCATTCTAGAAGGTTTTTTTTCCCTTGGAATGTACCGGCACTTTTTAAAAGGTATATGAATTATAATATTCTAGGGACAATGCTAAATAAGAAACCCCACAACAAATGAAACTAGAAATTAACTTTTCAAAAAAATGAACACACCATTTCTTAAAAGAAAATATTCTTGGTGGTAGGTTGTGGCTTCTTGTTACCAAGTGCTATGTAGTGGTGGTGGAATGGATTGGAGGATTGTGGTTAGGGTGGCTTGTTGGAGACTATTGGGTGAGAGGAATAGAAGATTGTTTGAAGAAGGGTATAGGGAGAAGGGGCGATTTGAGTTGAAGTATGATGTTCTGAATTTTTGCAAACACATGGTTGCAAATACTGCTGAGGGCTGTGGTTTTGATATTTCAAGGAGAATTGTGGGTGTGGTCAGGTGGTGCCCTCCTTTATCAGATTAGATAAAATTGAACTCTGATGGTTCTAGAAGTGTGTCTTGGGTTTTGGCAAGAAGATGGCTCCATGTTCTACAGCAGTGTTGGGAGTTGGGTTTTCGCAAGATTGTTGATTCTTTAGTGGTCTGTAAGAAATTACAAAGTATAAGTGAGCGGAGGAGAGAGGCCGCTGGTGGGATAAGGATTGATAGTTATGTGTCTCCCATATTGCTAGAAGGGGTAATCAATGTGCTGATGCCCTTGCAAGGATGAGTTTGAAGGGATGCAGGTGTGCATACTTGGAATGAGATTGTTGAGGACTAGCGATTACTTTTTTTAGTTGATGCTTACGGTTTTGGTTTTGACAGGGGATAGTTAGGTGCTGTTACTGATTTTTTTTCTTCCTTCCTTTCTTTCTTTTTTGGTTATTTTTTGTGTTTCTTTTTTAGGCTTTAAGCCTCTTTGCCAATTGAAAGATGTTGAAATTATTTTCACAAGATGTGATTCAATTGAATGTGCTAATGCACTTGCAAGGAACACACATGCTATGGCTCTAGGAACTAGTTTGCTTACTGATGTGCCTATTTGTTGTCTCAAAATAGTATAGGTTACTTGGTCTCATATTGACTGGTAAGAGCTACCTTATAGAGTTCTTAAGTGGGTTCGTCATTCTTCTTCGTTCTCCATCCATCTTGGCTGACATCACTTGTGTTCATCTTAGGGTTCATAATGAAACCTTGGATGTATTACTGCATGATATATATATATATATATATATTTATATCCTGTTCGGAACTTATGGTTTCTCTGGTTCTTTCTCTTACTTTTCCTTTTGTCTTAAAACTTTACAACTTTCATTTGCTATTGACTTTGTGACCTGTTACATGTTGAGGCCTTAACTCTTAAGGTTCTACTCTTCTTCATGTACTTAAATATTTTTAGGCATTTATTATTGATTTGATCTATCTTTGTCAATTTCTCTTTTTCCCCAAAATTTCCCAGTCTGTTGAATTCAAAGATATTGTGATGATTGGGCACACCCATACTCAAGATGCAACTCCATTAACTCTCGAGCAGGATTTTAGTGGCTATGCTACACAAGGAAGCCTCATTTTCTCTTCTTACGATGTCTAGCCTGTTGTTGAATGGACATCATCGACACTTGTAGCTTAGGGTGAGTCATTTCTTAATTGCCTTTTCATTTCTCAATTGAC